TTATTATTATTATTATTATTATTATTATTATTATTATTATTATTATTTTATTATTCTCTTTTTTATTCTCATTCTATTAATCAATATAAAAAATATATATATAAAATCCTATGAGCTCTGGCAAAATAGTCTCGGCTATAGGTTGGCGACCCTCCATACTCGGGTCCGTCACACGGCGTCCGGGAACGCAAAGCGAATTGAGACGTCACATATTATTCTGAAATTTCAGATTGAATTACGTTTTGGATAAATATAGTTTTAATAAAAATAATAACATCGATTATTTTTGGGATATTGTTGTTTCGTTCAATCACAATTCTTGCCTACGAACGTTATGACATAATATGCATTTTACGTATACGTATATGTGTATAATATGACTGTTTTGTACATAGGATTGTTTGCGTTGCTTGTAAAATATTGAGCATTATTTGTAATTAAACCGAGAAAAATATAATATAAAACGATAAGCATTGTAAAAATACGTATGATTTATTAGTATTATAAATGTTTGCATATAATTTATCGAATTCGATGTGATCTTCATATTATTTCTCACAAACGAGACCTTTGATTTATTTTATGTCCTTTTATTTTCGATGTAGAAAATATGCATAATGTACTCAAATTAATTAATTTTTTTATTTTATTTACTGTTTTAAATTGCAAATTCGGCAATTGAAGAATAGATAAAATTAAATTTACTCTTATTGCCACGTTTCTCTCTCCCCCCCCCCCCCCCCCCCCCCCACCAAAATGTTATTATAATTATTTGAAGTTCAGAAACGTATATTTTTAATAACCAACCCAGTAGGGTTCCAACATCAAATGATGTGGTGATATAATAAGGAAAATCATCTGATATAGTAAGAAACATGACATTTTTTTACAGGACCTGCATTAGTCAACGTCAGTGTAGTGCTGTTCACGCTATCGTCTCCAGATGAATCAAGCTTGGTAATATACTTCACATATTTTATTATTATTGGCAATATACTTAATTATATTTGAGCATATAGTTTCTATAATGCGCAGTAGAAATGTAAATAGTTAAAGCATTTATAGTCACATCATAAGAATTAATGTATAGTTCAAACCAGTGGCGTATTTGAGGGGGGCGATGGGACAACCTCCCCCGAGAATTTTTAGACCAAGACAATTTTTATATAAGTAATATAAGTATATTGATTTATATAAGTAATATATAAGTACTATTTATATAAGTAATTTTATTAAGAAACAAAAATTATAATTTATTTTATAGTATTACTACATTTGAAAACTTTTCAAATTTTATACTAATTTAAATAACACAAAACGCTAAATTATCATAACGTTTTAACTGTCAATAACGATAAACGGAAAATTTTTTAAACGTTTAAATTTGTATAATGTTTAAACGCTTAAATTGAATAACGTTTAAAATATTTATAGCGTTAAACGCTCAATTGCTTATAACGTTTATATGTCCCATAACGATAAATAATATATATAATTTTGATTGAAGATCTAGTCCATACTTAGTGAAAAATTAGATAAAACACAAGCGAAACTTTCAAAACACAGATAGGTGTTAAAAAAAACTACACAAAAGACCATTCTAAGTGGATCCGGCATTAGATAAAAAAAAAAAAAAAAAAAAAAACCACAAATATTAAGGACTCACCTGATATAAATATTACCAAAAATTTTACTTGTAAATTTTTAGCCTGAATTAAAGAAAAATTTTGAGTTGCCCTCCCCCCTAAAAGTAAGTCTAAATACGCCCCTGGTTCAAACAATAGTCTTAATTTGCAGTTATAACTGTAGTCCAGTGTAATGTAGACTGTTTATATATATTTACTAGCTGAATTATCTGACTTCGCACGAAACATTCTTTACCGGGACATAGTTTTTAATAGATTATGACCTTACACTATTTAAAGCCTAGTATTGTGTAATTTTTGGTTATAAAACAAATAAAACAAAATTTCAAATGATTCGGCATGGTAGTTTTGGTTGTACGCTGAACTACCAATGGTTTTAAATCATGAAACCTACTTGCCAATATTTTTCAAAATCCAACCTTATTGCACGTATATAATATTGCAAAGACCACTATCCACTATGTCAATTTTGAAGTTCATACATTTTGTTGTTTTGGAGATATAGCATAAAAATCCTTTTTTTCTAAAATCTCTACAATATAAAAAAAAAAAAACTACTCACCACATTTTCTATTTATAGCTTTAGCGCTTCCAACTAGACGTTTTTTTTTTTTTTCATATTTAACACTTTTTGTTTTACCCCTTATTATCCCTCTTAAGAGTTGATTTTTTTAAAATTCTTTCTTTTTATACATCTAAAAAGTTAGGGGAACCACTATGTCAAATTACTAGTTTATACGATCTATCATTTTTGAGATGTAGTGATGTGAATGATCAGTGAGTGAAAGGTATTTAGTTTCATATATACATATGAGGTCTATTCAAAAAGCACTAAGATTTTCAGCAACCTTTTCGTAAATATTCTATTAAAATTTCATGACACGATGCAATTGAAATTGCCAGTTCACTTGCTTACTCACAAACGATTAATTTGCGATCATTTTACGGTTTTCAGCAAATTTTTAATCATAAAATCATCATATCTAGATGTCAACGGTCTTTCAGAACGTTGATCATCTTCAGTTGATTGCTTACTATCTTTGGAATGTTTAAATTTCTCAATAGGCAAATATTGATTTATTGAATCATCCTCAAAAATGGTTTTAATTATTGTAGGTACATGTTTTCGTTATGCATTTTCACCAAGAATCAAATAAAATTTGACACACATGTTGTTTATTAACTTCGGACATGTTAAAAATGGCAAATGAAATAAACTTACTCGATTTAATCATGTGTAATATTGAACTGATAGCGACTTCGAATTTTGTTTAAACTGTTCTTTTATGTGTGGAATACATATATTAATGATTTAAAATGTTATCATATCATATATTACAAAAACTTTAAGGCGTAAATATATAAATACACAAATTCACAGACAAACATGAATAATATTATAATTTCATTGAAAACTGTTATAAGTAACAGATCTTAAAAATCGAACATTAATTTCACGAGAATACGCGAAAACGTGTACGATGTGTAAATGAGGAGCAGTAGTATACACTCGTAACATTCCAAACCAAACTAAGCGCCATCTGAAAACTAAATGATTTCAAAAAGTTGATTAGTTATTTGTGCAACTGCGATAATAAAACTAACTAGATTCACTTCTTTCGGTTTAAAAAAAGATCCGATTCAGTTGGTACATGTTTAATCGATACACTTATTACATTTCTCATCCGTATATTATAATTATGTATACGCATCGCTCGATAATTTGAAAACTATTAACGGTTGGATTTTTCGGGTTTTTTTTAAAAAAAATGTTTTCGTTCACACCCCTAAAGTCAGACCCACAGTCACACTATTATTGTGTGACCCTGGGATTTCACTATTTTACATACATTTTTTTCACCATATTATAGAGTCGAGAATTGTATTTTTGTTCTTGTAAATTTGATATTTATTAGAAAAATAAATTAATAGAAGCTGCAAAAGATCTTAATGGCCCATAAAAAAAAAAATAAAAATTGATACTTAATGGTATATATAAATATTATTTCGGATCGAAAGCAGCGTATGTGCTCTCGTGACGAAGTGCATGCATTATATGATTATACATCGCCGCCGGGCCATTTGCCAAATACTCGTGTTACTCAGTGTTTTAGCACCAGGCGGATTAATTTACATAACGGCACACTGTCGGCACCATAATGACCGTATGCATCCCTAACGTTGTTTAAAATACGGACGACACAATGAACTCGACTTTTGCACAAACACGCGTGTAAAAGCACAACAATAATATTAAAATTCCCCAGAACCCTTGCTGCCCCGGTGTTGTTGGCACGGGTTGATCCAGACATACAAGATGTGGGAGAAAGGGTAATTTTTGAAATTCCAAAGCGCATGAATTTTAAGATAACGGGTCTCCCCACGTTTTTACCACGATTTAAAATCAATATCTTCGTTTTAATCAGTAATTTAATTAAATTAATTTTAAATATACTTCAAGCCGTGGTTGGTACGTCCAACCCGTTTAACAATTATCAAATTCAATTGTATTATTTTTTTTATTTTTTTATTTTTTTTTTTTTGACCACCTTCTCTCCTTAAACTCGCCCCGTGACCGTTGCGCGTTCGTCCAAAGCACATAATCCGAGTCCGAGGTTTATTTTAATATAATACGATCGCGTTTGTACAAATCAGAAATATGACATCGAGTTTTTGCTGCAACAAGAATGGTACGACCCGCGGCTACGGTTCTCCAACCGAACCAACTACAATGTACTGAACGGCATTCACCACCACGACGACGTATGGCTACCGGACACGAATTTCCACATGCACGGAGACTTCAAGCAGACTCAGAGACCGATGCGGTTCACATTGAGTGTGTATAAAGATGGTCGGGTGGAGTACACTACCAGGTACGTACTCCGCTATAGTCCACCAGGGTTTTCGATCATTAATATGAAGCCAGAGACATTTACCTAATACTCAAACTGAACAGGGGACCCCTTCTTCTTTTTTGGTACGTGCTCACGGAGAAAACGTTATTTCTCTTGATCTTTTACTTTTTTGTAATAATATTTATTTACGTATATAGATATAAAAGTAAGACTGATCTTAGAATGTCCATAGGAAATGTCCCTATTCACACGCATAACATTTGAGTTTTTTTAGACTTGCGGAATACATCGGTCTTAAATTTGTTTTCCGTTTTACAGGCGTCATCTGGTGCTGTTGTGCGAAGGTTCGATGAATATATTTCCGTTCGATCAACCACTGTGCACGTTTTCCATGGAGAGCAGTGAGTAATATTTTACGACCTAGTATTACGTTGTGGAATAATAATCGAATATACAACTATAATTAAGTACAAAGGCGTATTTACAATTTTTTCTATGAGACTACTAAACTAACTACTCTTGTAACAAAATGTACATATTTTTAGTTATAACGTGATTCGATCAAAATAGATAAAATAAGGACATACTATTCACTTCTGTTATACTTTTAAGAATTGCAAACAATCGTAAAAGAACAAAGTAATACATTATAAGTGACATATATTTGAAGACCATAAAAGAAACTCAATGAGGAATCAATGACCCCGAGTGATCGGAAATACTTTTCTTAATAGAACGACAGGACGCTTTTTTTATTTTCAATTTTCTTGAAAGTCCGTCTTCTACGAGTACATACGAACAAAGTGCACATCAGCTCTGAATATCTTTAAAGTGCGTACGGTGAATTCGTCGGTAATTAGTTCGAAACTATAAATATTATATCATGTATTATGCATACAATCTAAACTTTATATTATGAAATAATGTATGCATATAATGTTTGTTTTTGTTAAACATTAAGGATTGAAATAGCTAGTAGGTAAATATAATACGTTTATTATGGAATTATAATACCTATTACGTACCATCATTTTTCGATACCATTGATTCTTGGATTCTTTCTGTTGTAGTATCGTACGAAAAATCAGATCTGAAGTATGTGTGGAAGAACAACAGTTACATTTTGATGAAATCGCCTTATTTGAAAACTTCAAACGCGTACTTGGTGCGGAACCGCACTTATGAATGCGCTTCCACCGGAAGTTGGAGAGGTATTAAAATCTTTTAAACTCACCATAATAATTTATGTACGTGTGAATTCCATTCATATTCACACGAATGCCACCGTTTAGTCATGTTAATCTATTTGGATGTGCTCTGTTACGATATCGATTCCAATTTCAGGCGATTACAGTTGTCTGCAAGTGGAAATGATATTCAGCAGGGACCGAACGTTTTACTTCGCGACCATTTTCATACCGGGGTTGATTTTGGTGACGTCGTCGTTCATCACGTTTTTCCTGGAATGGAACGCGGTGCCGGCGAGAACGATTATAGGTATATTTTCGTTTCTAACCCCGGACGGGAAATCGGTCGCTAAACCCTAAAAGTATACCTCGCAGGCGTCACGACGATGTTGAACTATTTCACGACATCCAACAGCTTTCGGCGCACGCTGCCCGACGTGGCCAATCTGACCGCTATGAACGTGTGGGACGGCGTATGTATGTCGTTCGTGTTCGCCAGTTTCGTGGAGTTCGTAATCGTCAACAGGACGGGGCGAAGGAAGATCAAATCGAAAAACTTGGGCAACTGCAGTATTTCAAAGGTAAGAACTACAATTGTGCCTATCAATAACGTTATTTTTTTACGTGCAATGTGCGTATCGTTCACCCACCGAAATTCATCGCGCTCGAGCAATTGATAAGCGCGACGAAACGCGCATTGACGTTAAACAATTCTCGATGTCGACGGAGTGCATATCGCAGTGCTATTTGTTATCATCGTCTGTTGCGGTGAATTGTACGCAATATTATTATTATCATTGACATAAGAGCGTTTCGGTGGTACGCAAGTTGAATCACTGCAATCACGAAAACAATCTGCATATCTGTGCACGTAATTACTGAAATGTATCTAATGCGCGACGTTAGGACGTCAGATACCACCCAAGGGTGTCGTTTTGCGTGTCCGTCGCGGGAACGCGAAATAAACCTATAATCAATACCGCAGAACCGTACCGCTCGTTTCGCTCCGGCACGGCCAAAAGGATATTTATAGGGATGTGGATTCCAGATACATTTTACGAGGAAAAGTTAATTTATACCTATCCACCCACGTTGCACACCGAACACGCGTGTTTTTTTTTTTCTTACCGATGTTTGCGGACTGTCAAATTTTATTATTTTTACGGGAAGACGTGCACGTCATAAACTATATTATATTTCGCTATGGACTTTGTCAGTAATACGTATTTGTGTAGGGTTGTATCGTATCAGTTGACCGACTGACTATGTGGTACGTCAATCACTGTATTGAGTTCACTAAGGTGGATGGGATGTACAATTATTTTTTGATATATATATATATATATATATATTTTTTAACTCGTTAAAATGCACCGTATTTTTTTCACCAGTAAAATTCGTGTATTAAATATTCTTTACGAGAATAATTAATTTGTTTCTGGGTACAACAATTTTGTCAATCTATTACAAATACTGAGTAATGAGATTATTTGAATGGATAACATTTAATGTTATTTAAATATTGATTTTAGGTTAGGTTGATATATATTATATGAAGTATAGTTTAATATAAGTTTAACGGTTTCAAAATGTTTTCTTGAAAGTTTCAGAAAATAAAGATATTTACTACAATATCACTATATTATTATAATACGTAATGGACTTGAAGGCTTGCACATTATTTTCGATTTGGTTATCAAATTGAAATTTTAGCTCAAAATTTAATTTTGACCAATGATAAATAACAAAAATAATATTTATCCACGCGCTAAATATTGTTTATTTTCGTATTAAAAGTTATATTCAATTTCCGTTGTTTTAACCGACGAAGGTAGTGAATATAAAGTACAGTAGTCCACCGACTACAATGTTTAAAATTAATTTAGTTTTTGTTGTCGGCCCAAATGTTAGCTGGCTGTTGTAGAGTATCAGCCAGCTCTACGCAATACCAATTTGATAACTTGCAATAGTGTTTATAACCGATCTTAAACAATTCATATTGATGAATTAATTTTACTTTTGTTCGATGAAACCAGCCGAAACATATGATTTTTTTCGTTCCTCTATGTTCATTAATTCTTCTTCGACGAATCTCCGTTCTTTTTTTTTATTGAAATTGGAGCTAATAACTACTAATACAGCTAATACTACTTATTATTTTATAATACCTATATATGGAGAGTACATAATAAAATCGTCTATTACGCTATTTGAGTTGACGTACGAAATAAAGTCTTTGAAAAATCAGACGTCAGACTTTTATTGAACTTGGCACGTACACATTCTTAATAACATCGAGTCGTTGGATAGTTGGCACACAGACGGTGAGGTATGTGTGTGTGTGTGTGTTTGTATATGTATACACAGTCACTATATATTATTTCGTTTAAGGGCAACGTGGTAATTTTCCATAAAAGCCAGTGCACTACTTGGCGTAAAAAAAAAATGTCACGACTAATAAGCCATTAAAACTTTTACTGCCTCGTGGGAATAATATAATTTTCAGAAACATATTTTGGTCCCGTTCGAAAAATGTTATTTAAAAATATATCTCTAAATTAATATTTTACTTGACAATTAAATATTCGCTTCGCTATAAATAATCATGAAAATATTCGAAAATGTTCTTATTTAAGGCACATAATATTATGACGACTTTTAAGTTTATCAAGTATGCTTGTATACTTCACACATGATAATACCATTGTCTGTTGGAGAAAATCATTCTGCATAAGACGTATTGCAATAAAAACGAATATAATACATAGTAACTTAAAAGAGCACAATTTTACTCATTAAAAAGTAATCAACAAAATATACGTCTGCAAAAAGTAATAGATTATCTTCGGTCGTAATCCAAACGATAAGCCAACTAATCGTATTAAGCGAGTTTGCTAAACATAATATATAAATTTATTATATACGAGAGTACTGAAATTAAACTGTACATATTTTATCAAGTTAATCGTTTTAAAAGTAAATTTTTACTTTATATTATATTATTATAGTCGTAATGTTTTCGTTTTCTACGATATCGAATGAAAAGCAAATAAACAGAATGAAAATAAACCGCACTTGTTTATGTGGTACACATAATACGCGCGCATGTAAATATTTATACGCATAATACATGTATGCGACACAGATAGTTTTGCGTTTGTCTTGGCGGTACGTCGTGCACAATGAAATAAAAAGAAAATTTCCTGAACGTTGTACAAAGCACGCGGTGAAGCCCGAACGCAGGAACATTTCTCGCATATTTACTCTTACTGTTTGTCAACGGATTACCGCGATAAGAAACGTAATTTTTTTTTTTTTGCAATATATCACGACGTTCTTACACGAGGGATACTTAAACTAACGCAAGATCAATGAAGGCGCAACGGAGAATGTTACTGATTTCGAAAAATCTAAATCCAATAGTCATCGCGGTATCAACTGAAAGAAATTTAATCGATTTCCAATTAATCGTCGAGAACCGTATAAGAACTCGATAGTCATGATGTACGATTATAACGTTTTATCCGTAACAAAAACATTTTTAAAGTCTTCGGTTCGAAAACCCGCCACGATCAAAGCCGATTCTAACACGAATTCCACTGCGGGCCTTCGCCTATAAGCGAATCACAAAAAAAATGTCTTTACAGTGCAATAAAATACGTTACCTTTTAAATTTTCTCGACCTGTGCCGTGATGACGTTGTCCATGTCCCGAAAAGTTACGGTTTCCGTTTACGGTTATCGTGTTCGGATATTAACCAAAGGTTCACCTAATGTATTCGTGTACGTTACACTTATATGTTTCAATGAAAAAAATTATATAATATCATCACCCATGTACCTCCTACAACAGTTTAATAATTATTAATAGAACACAAACATAATATGATATCAACAAAGATAACCGATTACCGAGTAGGATACGTTTGTTCTGAGGAGCAGTACATAACGACGTCAGATGTCGTAAGTTAAGCAGTTCGTTAAATTCAACTCTTATTTCTATTTATACACATATATACGTGTACGTATTATCTTCTGGAGCTCGATAGTTTACGCCGTACAAACGCTGTATAAGCACGAGTGAACCAAGTAAAGAATAAAGAACACAGGGAAAGAGAGCGGTTGGGGATGAAAAAGAGATATTGGGAGAATAGAAAAGGTAAGAGAAGCACTTGCGGTTTAGAGCTTTTCCGCCCCAAGCTTTAATTTTTAACCGAAATATAGTCTCACCTGAAAAACGAACGAATTGGAAAGAAAGAGCAATGGATAGAGAAGAATGGAGGAATGAATGTGAGATGGGATGGTCTTGAATGGCCTTCAACCAAGAAGAAGATAAATTATCTAGATTTTTTGTCATCTTTTTTTTTACCTTATCTAATAGTCTCACTTGTGTTTGCTATTGCACCGTGATTCCGCAACTGAGTCCTTGACTCTTAAGCAAACGAATTGAAAATGTATCAGTAAGTCTACGGTCTATTACATTAAATAAGAAGAAAGATAAATATACCAACAGTTCTTTTTTTTAACTGAACGAAACAAATTTTGTCTTTTAACGATTGAATTATAAATTATAATATTATATTATAAATACATTTTTTTTCTTGGTTTTTTTTTCGATAAAGTTTTCAATTATTTCTTTATAGAAAGAATTTCGTTATCGGACATTTCGATTTCAAAGCAACGGTTGTCGGAAATAATAATACGTTTGTACGTAAATAAACCGTGTTGTACTTTAATGTATGCAAAATCCGAAGTAATCACAAAAAGTGCATAAACCTGAGGCCCCTTCTATGGTATTGTACGTATACCGTATCTGAGAACTCATCTAAGAAGTATCAAAACATGTAACACGGACGGCATGACGTGCAAATAATAAGTATTAATACAATGAAAATAGATTTTTTGCCGTCCGAAAGCGTCTACCTGCAACCATAACATTGCCGTGTTCATCAATGTATTGTTATCACATATTCTTCAACATATTTGTTGTTTTATAATTGTTAAAAGTTAAAAAAAAAAAATTAAATAACTAGCTGAAGTTTTTACTATAATTATAATAACATTATAAACTTCTTGTTTTACCTTATTCGTAAGTTAGTGCTCGCAGTGCTTACGTGAACGCTACACCCCTTTATAATATTATTATACGTGCATAGTGATTAATACTGACGGTGATAATTATTACTATTATAATTGCGACAAACCGTCGAGTCGGATATAGACATCACGTATCGCTGCGGCTATGATTGTTATTTCGTAATGACGACCAACGATGGAGTGGAAGAAATCGATCTTTAAAACGTGCGCAATCAAAAACGAGACCATCTCGAACCAAGAGTTCGATTATATACTTATAGTACTTACCGCAGTTGACTTGCACACGTTCCGATGAGAGTTATACGCGCAGACCCGTCACGCCGATAACCACCAACGACGACGAGGATGGCGGAAGTTTAACGAACAAGGTCGGATGACTTCTATCCTACACTTCTCGACATTCGGCTTTTCTAGGACCCATGTGCTATTCAACTTTAGAGCTCGGCAATGCTCTAATATAATACGGGAATTTCAATCTATATGCT